AACAAACCCCTTGCCAGTCTCGGTGAGTGCTCCCCAGTTCTGCATCCGTCTTATGCAGCACCTCTGTGACTTGGCAAACCCCCAGCCGCTGTCTTCTCTCCAAACTGCAGAGTCCCAGCTGGTTTAGGGTCTCCTTGAAGGGCACCCGTGCCATCCCCTTAATCATTTTGATTGCTCTTTCCAACTCTGCTGCATCCTCTTGAGATGTGGAGGCCAACATATCTATCCTAAATTTGAATGCACCAGAATCTTGGGCAATTCATCGAGTCCTGTTCAGTCAGCTGGATCACACGGGCTTTAGACTTTGGCTTTGGTGGCGTTCCTGAAGGAACAGCAGTCACACACTCTGCCTCTTGCCTGCTTGCAAGAGCAGCAGTCACATCCAGTAGCATCCCCTCTGCGTTTTCAAAGCCAGACAGCAGACAGAGGAAGACCACAGACTGGATAAAGGTGTCATGAAATGCTCCCACAGGGACAACAGATGAGAGAGTGATGACGCGAGCGTCACGAGAGGGTGACTAAGTTCTGGCCATGCTCTGACCTAGCTGCTCTAAAGACTCTCCTTGGAGAAGCTGGGGGGCCTGTAGTCCTCATTGCTGTAAGCCCCAGGACAGCGTCTCTTTCTCGGAGCGGAGCATCCCACCAGCACCATTTTTCTGCCTGGTTTCCTGTGCTGAGCTTTGCCATGGTACAAACTCAGAGCTCCTGTGTCTGGGAGGAGGGACAATCAAGGGGTGCCAGCCCCATCGATGCTGAGGAGCAGAGGCAGCTGCCTGCCGCATTTTGCCCAGGGAGCAAGTCTCCCGTCACATTAAAGCACAGCGGAACCCTGATTTTAGGTGAGACTTCCCCCTCTCCCTATTGCATATGCCTTCAAAGGGGTTAATTCTGGCTGACGAATGCTGGACACAAGCCACAGACGTGCAGAGCGAGGGTTTTGAGCATGCTGGTGGGAAGAGCCAAGGATCCATTGGGGTCCTTGACTACCTGTTGGATCGAGAGACTTGAGAACAACTAGCAACCACAAACACACTTCAATCCCTATCTCATCATTTCCATTGTAATACTTCAGGGAAACCACAAAACAGGGAACAGATTAGCGTTTTACGACCACGATAACATGACCAGCAGCACGCGCAAGGGCAGCGAGACCTTGTCCTCATGTGGGGAAGCTCACGACAGCTTTCTGGTATGGCCCCTCTTTACCCGGGAAGCGAGGCAGAGACCTCAAGCCAAAGTCTCCGCACGTTCCCCCAGCACACAGGCAGGGCTGCTTGGAGCAAAGCACGGCAAAGCCAGCCTCAACCAGAGAAGGCACCGAGTCACATCAGGAAGGAATTGCTACCCCACCAGGCAGACCACAGCTGTCACGGTGGTCTGTCCAAAGCACAGCTGCCTTAAATCTCTTGCACTTAACCCTTTGCTGCCTGCACACAATGGTGAAAGAGAACTGGAGGTGAAGGTGAGGCCAGCATGTTGCAGAACGTATTTGCTGCCCAGAAGACCCTCCTACGTTCACTCAGATCGCTGCAAGAGCGGCCTGCCTTCCTCTGAGGGTATTGGAGCAGGACAGTGGTGGTTACTCCATCCTGCGAGTAACACTGGGCAAACATGATGATAATAAAATAAGTAAACTTTTTCACCTAAACCCCAGCCACAATGTGAACCAGAGGAGCCCCTGTGGTGGGAGACAGAGAGGTGCAGAGCTGGTGAGTTGCACAGACGAGGAGGTGTGCTATAGCAGCCACACTCACGCGTGGACCATTTTGGACCATGGCGGAAATAGTTCAAGGGAGCAACCTGGATCACTGTATGTGCTGTCTCCTCCTCTGAAGTCAACAGCCTCACTTGCTCTTGGGCACAGGAGGAAGATAGCTGGGATGTGGTCACCTCAGGATGGCTTAGGAGAACCTGTCCCAGATGCTGCAAATGCCTCCCTCACAGCAACCGAGCCCACCACCAGGACCACGTCTGCCTCCTCCCAAACCACAGCGGGTAGGAGAGGTTTCTCTTCTCGTCCGCTCCCCTTTCTACCCAGCCCCAAGCCGCCTGCTCTCCCCCCGCCCCAGTGCTGCCATCTGTTTTTCTACTGATGGCAAGGGATGAGATGTTCCGCTGGCCCTCAAGAGCCAAAGCGCGCTCACCACTAACTCGTATTCCTGACGGGCTCCTGGAAGGGTTTGCATCCTCCCTCCCTCGCCCGCTGAACTACGTGCCTCCCTGCTCCGGGGATGGGGAACTTGGCAAGGCGCAGCGAGAGACCGGGAGGCAGATGGACGACTAGATTAATGGAAAGAGAAGGGAGGTGGGGAGAGGAGCGAGAGGGATGAGCAGTCAGGCTGATCCGCTGCCAGCATACGATAAAGATGAGCGAGAATGCCTCTAATGCCATTGTGTGGTGACCTGAACTTTCCAATGTGAGGCAGGGCTCCAGCTGGGGCTGGGGAGGTTGAGGCTTGGCTACTGCTGCTATGCCCCATCCTGAAGTTACTCCACCAGGGAGAGATGGTACAAGCAGCCGGGTGGCCTGGATTTCTCTTATGTAGGGTTGTTCCCCTCGCTGAGGCATCCAGATGAGAAAGCTTCCTCAACCAACACACACTCAGCAGTCAACAGAGAGACAACGGCATCTCTGAGGGGTGACTTGGACCTGAGGTGGGCAGTCCTCTGGAACAGCGTTCTGCTGCCCAGTAGAGTGCAGAGACTGGGCTCCTAAAGGAGGTGCCTTCAGTGAGGGATTACTCTGAAACGAGGAGGAACCTGGGACTAAGATGTCCCATGGACATGGCAAGTCAAGCTGAACCACGCCAGACCCAGCAGGGGCTATGTTCTGCAGGGGCAGAACACTTCTCATGCAGGTAAATGAAGGGGAGAACAAGAAAAGGAGAAATGGTGGTGGAGTGTCACACAGCAAGGACAGATTAGAGGTTATATTCTGTCTCTACCTGACTCTTGCTGTCTGACATCCCCACATCCCACAAGAGACTGGGTCCCAAGTGGAATGGCCTCTGACAACTGCAGTGCTTTTTGTCACAAGGATGGAGGCAGGCCAGGTATAGAAATGGGAGTGGAAGCAAGCACAGATGAGGTCGAAACAACACTCAGGGCATTTTCTGTGGTCAAACAAGGGGACTGGTAACACCTCCCTTCTTCCCAGCGCCGAGCAGCAGATCCCAGAGCAAAACTTTGAATGAGACCATTTTGGTCTTTATGGCAAGACAAGGACTACTATAAAAGACTTATTAAAAAGTGAGTTATCTAGGAAGACTTAGCTTATCAGTCCACCCTTAATAACCTTCATCATTGTAGAAGAAAACCCAATGAAAAAAATAATCACAGACCCATACGTGAGAAATGAGGAGGAGGAGGAGAACAGGGAGGAGGCAGCTGTGAGCTGTATCGAAAAGGAGAGCATCAGGGTGAAAGAAACTATCTGAGGATGAATCTTCATTAGTATTAAAATGAGTGACTGTGACCTTAAAAAATAGGCCTGCGCTGATGAAATTGCTAATGAGGAAGAAGGCATTGTTCCACAGAGGAGGATCAGGATATCTGACAAATAGTTAGATGACCTGAAGGACTAGAGAGAGAAACAGGATGACATGCACTTGTATAAAACTGAAGGGCAAGCTCTTGTACTGATGGTAAAACATCTGCTGTTAGCTTGGAGCTCATCAGTTG